TTAACAAAAGTATGCCTAGCTGGGGAGCTACAGTTCTTAATAAAAGGATGCATAGCTGCGGAGCAGAACACCAGGTCTTGGTAATCAAGGGAGTCGCCCTAGAGGGAGTCCTTAAACTGGGTCTTGTCCATTAGACATTCACTCAACAAACACTTCTTGACACGTGCTATATGCCAATTACTAAACTAGGTGCTGGAGATAAAACATTGTTAAGCCATGATCACCAAGACAGTCACCCTAGAAGCATTGCTGTAGCTCAGCAAATTGCCCTTTGTTGTGCTTCCATCAGAGGCATCCCTCTGCACTGGTCACCCAGTCAGGGATACTGTCAAGGACACTGCTCCTCACATAACACAATGTGCTCTTTATAAGCATCCCTGGGAGACATTCCAATCTGATCTCCATTCCAGGAATAGTTTTACCTCTCCAGAGTACTGGATTTATGTTTTATCTTCAGATATCATGAATTGTGGGACCAATGAGGTTTTCAGCTTAGAGACAAATTCATGGCCCAGCTGCAGCAAATGTGAAGGTCATTCTTCTGTGCATTTTAGCTTTGTCTCTGGTTCCATTTTGTTACTACCCATGTTTTTACTTTCTTCGTTCTCCACACTTTTAATGTATGGCATCTTGGGGGTCTATTATCTCTGTTTATTTGTTGTATCCTTAGAAGTGGCTGTGAACCCTTCTGGAAGAAAGCATTGCCTTCCATGTTTATAATACAGTATACATATTTGCATAAATGCTATGATGGAGGTGTGTACACTGGGTGATGTGGGAACACAAATAATAATGCCTTATTAATTATCAAAGGCATTAGAGAAGATCCTGCATAAGGGTCACTGCTTGAGTTGTATTTTCTTTTCTTTTTTTTTGAGATGGAGCCTCACGTGATTGCCCAGGCTGGAATGCAATGATGCAATCTCAGCTCACTGAACCTCCACCTCCTGGGTTCAAGTGATTCTCCTGCCTCAGCCTCCCAAGTAGCTGGAATTACAGCCACATACCACCATGCCCTGCTAATTTTTGTATTTTTAGTAGAGACAGGATTTCACCATGTTGGCCAGGCTGGTCTTGAACTCCTGGCCTCATGATCTGCCTGCCTCAGCCTCCCAAAGTGCTGGGATTACAGGTGTGAGCCACCACGCCCAGCCTGTATTTTCTTTTGTTCTGTATTTTGTTGAGGATGTCACAACACACCAATCTTCAAACAAGTTTGCTGCCACATGCATGCAAGAAAACTTTTTTTTAATCTTACAGAGTAGATTTTGGTGTTATATCATGGGCTTATAGGACACCACTGAAGTTGTTTGTAATTAATCAAAGCTATTTCCATGATAGTTTCATCAGTTTTTTTCTGACAAGATTATGGGGCAAAACAATTCACATCTGCATCTGAATTTTTGTGCAGGGAAGGAAATTCAGATGAAATATCAAACAAGTTAGAATACATTTGACAACAAAGTGAGGTGAAGAATTAAAATAATTATCTAGAAGATGGATATACACAAAATGTTATCAACAGAATTTTTTAAATAAATGATGCCAAATGGGATTTAGGAATTTGTATTATTTAAACCAAAAGTCTGAGATTTTGAAGGGCTATTACAAGTCATTTTGTTTAGTCTTATATCTGTGCAGCAGTATTCTTCCTGAATTCTTTCCACTTTTCAGGTATATTCCCAACCTTGGAGTTTCCCGCGATGGTGTGATTGCCTATGTAAGAACAGGGTGAAAGTACTGTTGCTGACACAACATCTGAAGTACGCTGAACCAGCAGATAATCTCTCAATGCACTCAATTTTAGCTCCTTTTTTTCTTAAGTGTTTTAGCCATATAAAAATTCATTTCAACAAACAGCACACAGAAGATCTCAAGAAATAGGTCAGGATCTCGTAAATGAAACATTCCAGTTCACAAAAAAGACAGCAATAAACATGTTTACTGCACATCCTTTCACTCTTCAGTAGTATAAAACATTACAACCATCTTCCTTTAGGTTTAAAAAAATAAAGGAAAGAAAAAGTAAACCAAATGTACCTCATGACTTCTTTCGGCTCTCTACCAGGCCTGAACTTTAAAGACAACACTATTTTGTCTCTGTATTGAGGAAAATTGTAGACTTTTAACTTAGAGTGACTAAATAGAATGCATTACTCTCCCCCATTTTTTCAGAATTAAAAAAAAAACATAAAAACAAAACTATCTAAAAAGTACTGCTAAGAGGAAAGTCTACTCTGAGCTCAGCAATTAGGCACACTGATGTTTGCTAGAGGAGGGCAGCCCAGGCAGGCAGAAAAATCACTGGACTGTGTAGTACTGGGCTGGACGTTTTAAGAAGGCAGGCACCATCTCCGCTTTTTCACAACTATATGCCCAGTACCTGGCACAAATTCTGGCACAATGCGTATTCATTCACAATTTATTGAGTACCAACTCTGTACCAGGCAGTGTTCTAGATGCTTAGGATATATTATAAAACAAAACAGACAAAAATTTCTGTCCAAAAGGAAAACTGTTCCTCTATTCATAATACTTTGGACCAAATGTCAAGGGTGGAGGGGCTTCAAACTAAGCAATTCTCTAATTCTCTGCAGACACCAACTGGGTGTCCTACAATTTAATTCAATCCGGACACTAATTATCCAACATTATTGCATATCCCACAGGTTAAGGGCTCAGTCTCACAAGACTGCCCCCAACTTGAGATACCAACAGCAAGTCCAGGGTCTCCTGTACTTCTGATAGACTGGCTATGAATGGGGGGTGTCTTCATGTATTTCAGCTGTTATAACATACCATTAACTGGGGAGCTTACAAACACCAAAACTTATTTCTCAGTTGTATAAGCTGCAAAGTCCAGGATCAAAGCACCAGATGAATGGGTGTCTGGTGAGGGCCTCTTTCCTGGTTTGTAGACACAGCTGTGTCCTCACGTGCCAGAAGGAACTCACAAGCTCTCCTGGGTTTCTTTTATAAGGCCACTAATCCCATGACGTAGTCACTTCCCAAAGGTCCCATCTCTGAATATCATCAACTTGGGGATTTCCATTTTATGAAGTCCAATAGGATACGAACATTCAGACCACAGTGCAGAGATTCCCACAACCGCCTCCTTAGGTTCAATAACTTGCTAGAGCAGCTCACAGAACTTAGAAATAACCTTTACATTTCTCAGTTTGGGGAAGGGATATGGACCTTCAAAAGGCCCTCTCCAGGAGCTCAATCCTTCCAACACCAACCTGGAAGCTCTCCAAACCCCTTTGGATAGGGTTTTTTAAAATTGAGGCTTCATTATGTAAGCATGATTGATTAAGTCATTGCCCAATGGTAATCTCCTGCCCCTCTCTCCTCCCTGGAGGTCATGGCTTGAGGCTGAAAGTCCCAACCCTCCAATCACATGGTTACTTCCCGTAGCAACCAGCACCCCCCTTCCGCCCTCCCCACCGTTCTTTGAGGCTCTCCAAAAGTCACTTCATTAATATAAACTCAGATGTGATTGAAAGGGGTTATGAATAACAAGATACCACTTTCATCATTTAGGAAATGTCAAGGGTTTTAGGACCTCTGGCCAGGAGTCACAAATGAAAACCAAACTTTTATTTTTCATTTAATTTTTTTTTTTTTTTTTGAGATAAAGTCTCACTCTGTCACCCAGGCTGGAGAGCAGTGGCACGATCTCGGCTCACTACAACCTCCGCCTACTGGGTTTACGTGATTCTCCTGCCTCAGTCTCCTGAGTAGCTGGGATTACAGGCACGTGCCACTTCATTTTGGCTAATTTTTGTATTTTTAGTAAATATGAGGTTTCACCATCTCTACTAAGATGGGAGGCCGAGGCGGGCGGATCACCTGAGGTCAGGAGTTCGAGACCAGCCTGACCAACATGGTGAAACCTCATCTCTATTAAGAATACAAAAATTGGCCAGATGTGGTGGCAGGCGCCTGTAATCCCAGCTACGTGGGAGGCTGAGGCAGAAAAATCGCTTGAACCCAGGAGGCAGAGGTTGCAGTGAGCCGAGATTGCGCCATTGCACTCCAGCCTGGGGGACAAGAGCAAGACTTTGTCTCAAAAAAAAAAAAAAGAAAAGAAAAAAGGCACATACTTGCCCGGGCACTGTGGCTCACGCCTATAATCCCAGCACTCTGGCAGGCCGAGGTGGGTGGATCACAAGGTCAGGAGCTCGAGACCAGCCTGGCCAACATAGTGAAACCCTACCTCTACTAAAAATACAAAAAATTAGCCAGGCGTGGTGGCAGACACCTGTAATCCCAGCTACTGGGGAGGCTGAGGCAGGAGAATCGCTGGAACCCAGGAGGCAGAGGTTGCAGTGAGCCGAGATTGCACCACTGCACTCCAGCCTGGGCGACAGGGCAAGACTCTGTCTCAAAAAAAAAAAAAAAAGTATGTACTCCTCAAAACTGTCAAGGTCCTTAAAAATAAGTGAAGTCTGAGAAACTCTCACAGTCAAGAAGAGACTAAGGAGACATGACAACTCAAAGTAATGTGGTGTCCTGGGTGGGATCCTGGAACAGAAAAGGGAAAAACTAAGGAAACCCAAATAAAGAACGAACTTTAGTTAATAATAATGTATTAATGTTGATTAATTAGTTGTGGAACTATACCATTTTAATGTAAATTTTCACAATAGGGAAGACGGAATGCTGGATAATGGGAACTCTGCACTACCCTGACAACTTTTCTGCAAATCTAAAACTACTCTTAAATAAAAAGTTTAGTTTAAAAAAAATGAGGGGTGGCGAGTGGGGGTAGGAATGAAGGAGAGTTCATAAAGACTGAAATTGTATATAGTCAGAGAGGTAAGAGAAGAACTAGAACAAATTGGTGATACTCAAAAAATAAATAAATAAATAAAAATCTGGCCCTAGTTAATTAAAAACTAAATATTCCAAGAAACTTAAATTTATACAAACATAAAAAACAGCATTTTAGTTAGGATTTACTTTCCACTTTGTGCTGATAAAAATTTTTCTTTTTGTAATAGTAGCTCAGTTTTATTTTCTGTGGTAACAAACATTTAAGAACCAGATAAAACAAGGGGCCCCTCAGTATCCTAAGGCCAGTACAGGCCGACCATGAGGCCCTTCCAGGAAAGTAGCAACTATGGGAATTCCCTGCCCTAGGGAAGAATGGATGCACTGCCTAGGAGGAGACGCAAGGTTAGACCACGCCCCATTTTGCCAGACCAGGCTTAGCGGGAAATGGGGGGCCCAAAGTGCTGCATGGTCTGCACCACCAGAGAAAGATGGTCGAGAAAGTTGATAACGGAAATTCGGAGCAGGCGACAGTCTTCAGCTTCCCAGCGGACGGCCAAGATCCTGCCGCTCACTGCGAGATTCTTCCCAACCACCCTTTGGTGGGGCTCAGCATCTGGAGCCAGGGACCCACGGGCAATTTCCGCCTCTAAAGGGGTCGGGAAAGGCACGCTGAGGGTGAATACGTGTGGCCGCATTCCTGGCCCCCTGGCCACAGACGTGGCGTCTCTGCCAGGACCTGAGGCGTGAGGTGGGGGAGCTCCGCCTGCTGGAGCTGCCGCTGTGTCCGCGCCACCGGGGCAGCTGTGGTCACCCTGGCTATCCCTGCAGTTGGTGCTTCCGCCTGCGTCTGCATCCGCGTCCCGCATGACCCGCCGCCGCCGCTCCGACTCCTTTTCTTTTTAAATTAAAGAAAAAAGTATAGCTGTAGTTCTACTCACTCAAACCTGGACTCACCTTTTCCTTCACCCAATTTTGCTCCTACCCTGGCCTCTTCCTCCTCTTCCTCCTTCCAGGCTCCCTATCCCAGGAAGCATCTCCAACCATCCTCTTGCTCAAGCCAGAAAGCTGGAAGTCATTCCTCCTCCTCCCCACCTATGCATCGTCACCACGACTCCACCCGAAGACTTTATATGTTTTTATATTTGTATTTATTTTTCTCCCTCTCCATTTCTTCTATTTAGGCCTCATCACTTCTGATCTGATTGCTCACCATAAAAACCTGCTAAGAATCCAACCTTCATATTAGCACCCAAGTGATTATTGTAAAATGTAATCAAATCGGCTGTAAAACAAGGGTTACTGTAAGGATTACAATATGGCAACATTTGTAGTGTTTAGCGCAGCACCTGACAGGTCCTCACAAAAGAGAGAAAAGATGAGGAAAGAGAAAAGAAACAAAAAGTCAGCTGTTACAGGTTATATCACCCCATCCCTAAAATTCCCCAGTGTCTCTCAAGAGCCTTCAAAATAAAATTCAAACTTTTTAGCATAATGCCCAAGCCCTTATTATTTGGCTCCTGCCAGGCCTCCAGCCATCTCCAGCTACCTCTATGAACACTTATGGCCATGTGGTTATTGAAAGTTATTGGCCAGGCATGGTGGCTCACGCCTGTAATTCCAGCACTTTGGGAGGCCGAGGCAGGCGGATCACCTGAGGTTGGGAGTTCAAGACTAGCCTGACCAACATGGAGAAACTCTGTTTTACTAAAAAATACAAAATTAGCCAGGCGTGGTGGTGCATGCCTGTAATCCCAGCTACTCAGGAGGCTGAGGCAGGAGAATCACTTGAATCCAAGAGGCGGAGGTTGCAGTGAGCCAAGATGGCTCCATTGCACTCCAGCCTGGGCAAAAAGAGAGAAACTCCATCTCCAAAAAAAAAAAAAGAAAGTATGAAGTATCCCACTGAAAAAAAATATAATGGTAAGAAAAGCCATCCGTGACAGCAACAATAAAAAATACCTAGTAACACATTTAAGAAGAAATGATGAGGACCTAGTTAAAAAAATGAAGAAAGTAAATATACAGTTATATGTTCATAAGTAGGAAGATTCAACATTCTAAACATGTTAATTCTCTTCAAACTGATACATAAAATCACTGTAATCACAATAAAACTCACAATGGGATTTGGGGGGAATCGGCCAGAAATATTCCCAAGTTCCTCTGGAAGAATAAACATACTCAAAAAATGCAAGGAATATTCTAAAAAGCAAGAACAATGAAGGGAAGTAGTACCATGTATTTCAGTGGAAATTTAGTATACATTAAAAGTGGTGGCCAGCTGTGGTGGCTCACGCCTGTAATACCAGCACTTTGGGAGGCCAAGGCAGGAGAACTGCTTGAGCCCAGGAGTTCAAGAACAGCCTGGGCAACATAGGAAGACTCTGTCTCTACACACACACACACAAAAGTTGGGGGGCACATTTCATATTAGTCAGGAAAAATAAGATTAGTATTAGACAAACTAGCTTGCCATCTGGAGAAAAATAAAGATCAGTTACTTACAAATAATCCTCAGTCCTTACAGCAAAATAACTTCTAGATGGAATAAAAAATGTAAGTTTAAAATAGAACAATGATTCCAGATGCAATGGCAGGTGTTTGTAGTCCCAAGTACTGAAGAGGCTGAGGCAGGAGAATCACTTGAGCCTAGGAGTTCGAGTCCAGCCTGGGCAACACATCAAGGCTGTTAATTAAAAACAAACAAAAAAGGAAACAATGAAAGTACTAGACGTAACCTGTAAACCTGGGACAATAGATTTATATCTATAATGCTAGACTGGTGAAGGGGAAGGTGGAGAGAAGAAAAAGGCCAAAAAGGAAGAGTCACAACTTACCTACATAAAAATTAAAATCTTTATATGGCCCAAAAATATATATATATAGATACTAAGTAAAAAGCTAACAATATACTAAAGAAAATAATTGTAACACATGACAGACTAATATCTATCCCTAAAAGTGCTACTATTAAAATAGTGGTATTACACCACAGAAAAATGGTAAAATAATATGAACAGTTGACAGGAGAGTCAGTAAACATTTAAAACATGGTTAAACTTACTAATAAAGAAACTCGAAACAATAAAATATCACTTTTTATCTCCAAGTTTAGCAAAGATTTTCACAACAAAAGGTAGAATCCCTCATACTGGCAAGGCCTACTCACACATTGCTGGAAGCAGTTACAAACCAATAGGGAAACTTATTTATTACAATTTTAAATCTGCATTCATGTTGACTCAGCAATTTCAATTCTAGCTGTCCATCCAACAGAAATACTTGCATGAGTACTCAAAGCTGTATTTGCTAATTTCTCTGCAGCAGTTTGTAAAACACTGGAAATTGCTGAAATGTTCATCAGCAGGGGAATTATGGTGCCTGCATACTATGCCATTAAAAATAACGAGGTAGATTAATAATCCTAACATAGTAAGATGACAAAGTGAAAAGGGCAAGTTGTAAAAAGCTTGTGTGATCCCATTTCTATACAAACGAAGACCATACACAAAGTTATTGCTAGTTTTTTTTATTTTACATAAGAATGCTTCTTAAAACTGTTAACTTTTTTGTTAGTTTCGTTTTTAGACAGGGTATTGCCCTGTCGCCCAGGCTGAGGCGCAGCGGTGCAATCACCACTCACTGCAGCCTTGACCTCCCAGGTCCATCTTCCTGCCTCAGCCTCCCAAGTAGCTGGGAGTACAGTCCCACACCACCACACTAACTCTAATTTTTGTAGAAACGAGGTCTTACTATGTTGCCCAGGCTGGTCTCAAACTCCAGAACTCAAGGGATCCGCCTGCCTAGGCCTCCCAGTGCTGAGATTACAGGCTTGAGCCACCATGCACCCCTCTACTCTTCCTCTATTAGCATTTAACACTCAACTGTTTGTTTCTGGTTCCCTATGTTGTGAGCTGCTTGAAGGCAGGGACCATGACTTACGTGATTTTTTTTTTTTTCCCTGAGACTCAACAGTCTCGCTCTGTCACCAAGGCGGGAGTGTGGTGGCGCCATCTCTGCTCACTGTAACCTCTGCCTCCCAGGTTCAAGCGATTCTCCTGCCACAGCCTCCTGAGTAGGTGGGACTACAGGCACATGCCACCATATCTGGTTAATTTTTTCTATTTTTAGTAGAGAGGGATTTCACCATGTTGCCCGGGCTGGGCCTAGAACTCCTGATTCCAGGTGATCCGCCCACCTCGGCCTCCCAAAGTGCTGGAATTACAGGCGTGAGCCACGGTGCCCAGCCTGACCTACGTGATTTTTGTATTACAAAGCCCTAGTACACTGCCTGGTAATAGCAGACGTTTACTAAGGGTTGGTTTAAACTAAAAATGTTATACCAGAAGTGATACTTGAGAAGGCAACACCTAAGATTGAAAAAAATCAGGTGTCTGTCAGCCAAAGCAAAAGCACACAAAGGTGAAAAGGTGTATATGGGAAACTACAGATAGTTCTGTCACTGGAAAGCAGTTAAAATTAATGAAAGAGGAAAGGCTGAAGAGGCAGCATGAGCATGCTTCCAAGGATAAAGTTCAAAATTCTCAACGTAACATATATACCAACAGACAAAGGCATGCCCTAACTAGCTCTGAAGCCTCACCTCCAGCTATTCTAGCTCCCTTAGCTCTGGATATATCCAATTAGTTCCAATTTCCTAAAAACACTATATTCTTCCAAACCTTAGTATAGCCTTCCCCCGTGCTTTGTCCATTGCTCTTCTCCCATTTTCAAAACTCAGCTCAATTGCCACTTTTCCCAAGGAAACTCTCTGATCTATCACGTCTAATAGGAGACTCTCCGTACTGACTTCTACCTCATGGTTTCCCTGGCAGTCTGTTGACTTGTTGGCTTCTCACTGAAGTCTAACTGGGGTTTTTCAACTCTGCATCTCCAGTTCTGTTTTTGTTTTAAATCGAGACGGGGTTTCACCACGTTGCTGGGGCTGGTACCAAACTTCGAGCTCAAGCAATCAGTCCACGCTTGCGTCCCAAAGTGCTGGCATTACACACGTGAGTCACTGAGCCTGGCAAACTCCATCTTTCTTGGTGCTAGATAATGACTTCTCTGTTGTGCCCCTGGATAAAGAAGCGGACCCCAATTCCCATTAAGCCCCCGTGGTACCATTTTAAAGTCCAAGGTCTCACATTGCAGATTGTACATCCAGGTTCACTGACCCGTAGAATTTAAAAGTTAGGTCAAATAATTAAACAAATTGTTTTAGACACTCTTGCTGCTACTCTGTAGCCAAACTGGGTGAAAACCTGACCAGAGAGGTCCACGGCTCTCCGTGCATCAAAGACGGTTCAAACGTTTCACTGATTAGCTCAGTGCCAGACACTCTGCGCTCAATCTGCAGGAGTCAGCGAGCTCCAGGACAGATAACATGTGTCTAGGGGCCTGGACTTGCACAAAGAGCTCTAACAACTTCACAATTTGATGAATTAAGCCGCCTTGGACCGCGTGTGAAAAGCAGCAAGACCCAAGGCGTATGCTATTGGTCTGGGGACTAGACCCACCTGGCTCAAGCATTTCTTGCTCAGCGGGTTCCCAGAAAGAGGCGCCCACAGGAGGGTGAGCGGCGGGCAAGACTGTTCCAAGAGCTTTCCCCGTTCACACACAGCTCCCGCTGGATCACTGTACCCGAGCCCTTCCCGCCCTCGCGGGCGGAGGCGGCCACCCCACAGGTTTGGGAACCCTAGGACTTGCACTGCTCCTGAGCCATGCCCCACCAGCCGGAGACTTCCGCATCTCGGGCTTGCTGAGTGGAGAAAACGGCTCCAGAAGATTCCACGAGCGTCGGGAAGCCGGGTTAGCACCAACCCCCACAAGGCCTTTCGGCGCAGCTCCTCCCGACCCGTGCGCC